CTCTGACTTGCTTTCACTGATTATGTTCAAATTTTAAATATTCATTATACATCATTTCATAGATAGACAGATATATTGGTTTGACGATTCTATTCAAAATGGCCAAATGGTGGCCATTTTTGTGCTAAAAAACATCAAATATCAAGCATTTCTGGCATTTCTGGATGGATTTCGTTCAAACTTGGTACATATATTAGACATTACAGGTTCCTGATGCACATCATTTATTTTTCAGATCGGATTCAAAATGGCTGTCTGGCGGCCATTTTGTTTTAATGAATGGGCTTCTAGAGCCATATCTCTTAAATGCTTTGACTGATTATATTCAAATTTTATATATTCATTATACATCATGTTATATATATACATGTATTCAAAATGGCTGATTTTGAATGCTGTTCCAGAGCAATATCTCTCAATATGGACAAGTACTTGTTTGACGATCAGATACAAATGTCAATCATTCTAATGTTAAAAAATCATATTCCTGACATGGTTATATTCCAGCTATATCACTATAAACAAAACTATATATCTTAAATTTGATAATTAATGGGGACTGTGCCATGCATGGCTTGTTTATTATTATTACATACATCTTGTATTTTGTATTATTTTGGGCTGTCGCGATTATGAAAACTTTTAGTAAAGTGCCAACAAGTAAATATTAGTATGAACAACACACGTAATGGGTTACTGATGTTGATTCAAAATGGCCGACTGGTAGCCATGTTGGTTTTATTTTCATGTGCCTTTAAAGATTTTTGTGTTTCAACATGTCATCAACAATTTCTTTTGGTGTGTCTGGTGCACTTTCATTCAAACACGGTGTTGTCTGTACTCATGGAGGTTACTGATACACACAGATTTATTTTTGTGATTTGATTCAAAGTTGGTGTGTCCTAACCCATTTCAGAAAAGCAAGACATGATCCTGGTAGTGTAAATACTTTTTGTGATTAGATTCTTGTCTAATATTTGAATGCATTCATAAACAGTCCTGCATGTGGACTGGGCAGTGATACAATACCCATATTATTTAGTTATTCATGATCTCTATAGGTCGTGTATTTCTTTTTCAAAGACTGGGTCTGTGACATTTATGTTTTTTTTTTTGTCTGTAGCTGCTACCAGTATGAAATGGATAGATGCAAAGATGAAAGAACTCGGTGTTTCATCTCATCCAGATTATAAACTAGCATTCATGTTGGACAGTGGTGCTATGATATCAGTCTATACGCCCAAATATGGAGTTGTGGAGGTAAGATATCAGTGTCAAATACAACCTAGGCCAATACCATTGTTACAAATAACATTAGAGCAATGGTGTGGCTGAGGACGTATTGTCTTCTTCATTTTCTTGAATGTGTGACTTTAAAGGTAGCTGAAGGAAACAAGTTTTTATCAAGAGGGAAAAAGCACATAGGGGTTACACATCGGAAATGGGGGGGGGGGGGGGGGCTTGCAGGAATTTTCTTTTCGGCAAAATATTTTATTTACATCTATCTGTCTGACAATTTAAACCCATTTTCCACATTCTTTATTAAAATTGTT